CTACATTAGACTCGCCTGTTTCGGCCCCAGTGGCGCCGGTGATACCAAAGAAGAGCACTCTCTCACTACAGTCATCAGTTGGCACGGAGGATACAATATCCCTTGCTATTCCTCTTGACCAAAGCCCGCAGACCTTCGACGCAAGTCAATACGCAGCAGAACTGCGGTCGCATTGGGCAACCGAAGGCGGAGACGCTTCTTACGCTTTATTAACGAGAGCCTTTGTCCTGGCGAACGCGACGACCAGTCGAATAAGGATAGTCGATACGCTGGTCAACTTTCTTCGGGTTCTGATCGAAGGGGACCCATCCAGTGTTCTGCCCGCTGTATGGCTAGCAACCAATTCCATATCACCTCCATACGATGAACTAGAGCTAGGCCTGGGAGGCTCTTCCATCTCTAAGGCCCTAAAAAAGATATACGGCCTCAATAACCAAGGGCTCAAGGCCCTGTATGATAAGCACGGCGATGCGGGAGATGTTGCATTTGAAGCCAAAAAACGACAATCATTCACACTGGTGAAACCGAAGCCGTTAAGAATCAAGGGAGTATACCAGTCACTGAAGAAGATTGCCACCAGCAAAGGACCTGGTAGTCAAGAAACCAAGCAACGGATTGTCGAGAAACTTCTACAGGATGCGCGCGGCGCCGAGGAGAGTCGGTATATTGTCCGGACATTGGTCCAGAATCTGCGAATTGGCGCAGTCAAGACGACGATGCTGATTGCTCTCGCACGAGCTGTTCTATATTCCAAGCCAGTCGGGGCAGATTTCGAAGTCCGTCCGAGGCATCAACTTGCACGTTTGAAGAAGGACGAGCTCGCGGAAATCTACAGCAATGCGGAAGAAATCGTCAAAGCGTCATATGCTAGGCATCCCAATTACAATGATCTGGTGCCCTGCTTGTTAGAGATCGGGCCCACGGAGGAGCTTTTGGTCAGATGCGGCCTATCCATGCACATTCCACTAAGGCCGATGCTGGGCAGCATCACACGCGATCTGTCGGAGATGTTGACGAAGCTCCAAGGCCGAGACTTCAGCTGCGAGTACAAGTACGACGGGCAACGCGCGCAGGTACACTGCGATGAGCAAGGGAAAGTTTCTATCTTCTCGCGCCACCTTGAGCTCATGACAGAGAAGTATCCAGATCTTGTCTCCCTGGTCCCGCAAATACGAGGGGAAAGCGTGTCCAGCTTTATTCTGGAGGGAGAAGTAGTTGCCGTGGACCGCGAGACTGGCGATCTTAAGCCATTCCAGGTCTTGACAAATCGTGCAAAGAAAAACGTTGAAATCGGAGACATCAAAGTCAATGTCTGTCTTTTCGCATTCGACCTCATGTATCTCAACGGCGAGCCTCTGCTAGATCGCCCCTTTCGGGAACGTCGCGAACTACTTCGCAGTCTCTTTGTAGAGATTCCAAAAAGTTTCGGCTGGGTGAAAAGCATGGATGCGACATCAGCAGATTCCGAGTCTGTCCTTGAGTTTTTCAGATCTGCCATCGATGTCAAGTGCGAGGGTATCATGGTCAAACTCCTCGATAACAAGCCCAGTGCGAAAACTCAACCAATCAACAACAACCTCTCCAACGAAATAGCTGCCATAACCACCGAGCAACCAAACCAAGCGCTATTCGACCCAATAACCAACCCCAACCCCAAAGCAAAACCTACCCGACGAAAGCCCCTCCTCTCAACCTACGAACCCGATAAACGCCTCGAATCCTGGCTCAAAGTTAAAAAAGACTACAACACATCCTCCGAAACCCTCGACCTAATCCCGATAGCCGGGTGGCATGGCCAAGGCCGCAAAGCGAAATGGTGGTCGCCGATCCTACTAGCAGTACGCAACCCGGAAACGGGATCCCTGGAAGCCGTAACAAAATGCATGTCCGGCTTCACGGACAAATTCTACCAAAGCAACAAAGAAAAATACGCTCAGGGCAGCACGAACGTCATCTCGCGCCCCAGCTACGTCGAGTACTACGGCGAACCAGACGTGTGGTTTGACCCGTCTGAGGTGTGGGAAATGGCTTTCGCGGATATCACGCTCAGTCCTACGTACCCGGCTGCTATTGGGCTGGTTAGCGATGAGCGCGGGTTGAGTCTGCGCTTCCCACGATTTATTAAGGTTCGTGAGGATAAGTCGATTGATGAGGCTACCTCGTCGGATTATCTGGCGTTGCTGTGGCGGAAGCAGATGGAGCGGACTGGGGAGGTTGTGGAGGTTGGGGATGTTGGTCTGGAGGAGGGAATGGAGTAGATGAGCATATTTACTTGTTCGTGTAATATTTGGACCTATGAATTTCCTTTTCCGGTTAGGTTTACCTTTTGGGATTTAGCGCCCTAATACGCACCGATCTTACCAAACGCCAGTTAGTTAACTAACTAGTTATAAATAACTAACTACCCGGTTCTTGCCGAGCAACCCAACCCCCATGCGGGTGTTGGGTTACCACACCGTAATACAAACTCTTGCTCAATGCAAATTTTAAGCCATACACCATTTTCACTACCATTTTACTACCCACCAACATGCCTAAAAAAACCCCAGATTTGGAAGATAGTATTAGAAATGCTCTATCTGCCTGGAATACGCGTAAAAAATTAACAATCGCTCCATTGGCGCGGGAATTTGGCGTTCCTTACCATACCCTCGATGGTAGGGTTCACGGTCGCGTATCTCGTTCGAAGCGCTACCCCGTCAATTCAACCCTAAATCAGGATCAAGAGCAAGTTCTAGTTAGCTGGATCAACCTACTAGATGATGCTTGCTCTCCACCGACCGCTAAGATGGTGGAAGCCTATGCAAATGCAATGATATCTCGAGATGACGCGTCGCGCCGGCCGGTTGACAAAAACTGGGTTTACCGGTTTTTAAATCGTATCCCACCACTCCACTATATGCATTTTCTAAAGCAAAAACCGAAGGAAAAGAAGCGGATGCAAGCCGAGAATATAGGGTATCTTACTGCTTGGTATCAACGACTAAATCAGTATACCTAAAGCAATGAAATACGCCCGCGAGATATCTACAATTTCGACGAAACTGGCTTCCAAATTGGCGAGGGAAAGGCACAAAAAGTGGTTATAAAAGCCCGACTACTTACTCCCCTAACGGGGGGGTATGAGAGCATTACTAGCATTAAATGTATTGCTGCCGATGGTTGGAAGATACCACTATAGTTCCTGGTTAAGGGCAAATACTATATAGAGAATTGGTATAAAGGGATCAACCTTCCGGATGACTATACTCTGGTTACTACCCCTTACGGGTATACTACTAATGATATAGCTATTCAATAGCTTTCTGCCTTCCACGAGGCTACTAAGGATCGTACGCCCTAAGGGGGTAAACGACTTCTGTTAATGGATAACTATAGTTCCCACCGTACGCCGGAATTCATCTATTTCGTAGCTGAAAAAAGTATTATCCCCTATTGCTTTATACCTTATACGACATATCTCTGTTAACCACTCGATAGTAAGCCCTTTCAAGCTCTAAAGCATTACTACTAGGCTAATAACAACACTATTGCTTAATAGAGTGGATCAGCCGATCGAAAATCGGATTTTTTTCGAGAAATTGTAGGGGTTCGCGAAGCACTTACACCCCGTGTAATTAAATCAGGATTTGCTAATTGTGGCATTTCCCCTTTTGATTATAAAAGGGTGCTCGGTCCTCTTAAAAAAGAGGTAGAATATGGCGATGATCTAGTCATCTTTAGTGAAGATGAAGATCTAGAGGATGACTTTCCTAGCTTAATTACCAATTCACCACCCCGTGGAGCCGCTCGTATAAACGAGAGTACCCGGAAACTGGAAGCAGAGATCGAATTACTAGATAGTGAGCTTTATGCTTCTATCCGCCACCGAGCAAAGCTGCTATACCGGAGTGCACGAATTTCAGCTAAGCTTGCCGCTTAACTTGCTACCGACAATATCTCACTTTTGGAGCATAAGGTTAGCCGGGAAACCCCTATAACTAAGCGCCAGCTTAATATAGGGGGTCCCCTTACTGCCGGCGATGCTAATCGTATGATGCGAGTGCGGGAGCATAAGGAGCAAGCCCTAGAAAAGAAGAGGTCGAAAAGGCGGCCTGCTAAGCAGCCGACTACAGAGGAATCTCCTACACCAGGACCCCGGTTTATTCCATGGATTCCACCTATAGACGATGTAAATAGCAATTGAGTATTTATTAGGATTTTTCTTATATTTTTTATATGCGTTGTTAGGGGGAAAAATACAAAAGCAATTGGTGCGTTCTCTAAAATTTGCATTGAGCAAGAGTTTGTATTACGGTGTGGTAACCCAATACCCGCATGGGGATTGGGTTGCTTGGCAAGAACCGGGTAGTTACCTAACTATTACCTAGTTAGGTAACTAACTAGCCCTGGAGTAATACACATATGCCCGTGGACCTGACCCACGCCTTCAATTTCGATGAATTTCTCTCCGACAATCCTTCGATTTTAACGGGGTTTAGCTGTACCTGGTCATAATTGTACCTTTGATAATTTATCCTTTCACAAAGGCACTCGGTGGAGTGGATAAGCCTAAGCCCTAAGCCTAAGTATTGCGAGTCCTTGAGATGGACATTCCTGCAGCTCGAGAAAGGGTCTCACAATTTCAAAGGAAATTGTGATGGAGAATTTGAACCAAAAAAAAATGGAGCATAAACTGGAAAGTTAGTCGAAAATAGCTTACTTTTTGTATGCAGCTCGAGGATCTCCAATTAAGTTTACCAAATTTGGTTATCCGAGACCATTGCCTGCGCTTGGTCTCGTATCCAAGTCTGTCGGAGTGGAGCAAGTGAGCCTTGGCCTCGTGTCCGAGGTATAACAGCTATTTTTTCTTCCTTTCACTATCCCAATTGCGGTGGTTGGAATAATCCCGTACGACTGAGCCTCCGACACGCCACTCGATATACTATCGCCTTCGCAGTGCTGCGCTCCTCCCTCCTCACGCCATTTCTACCATTATCTGACGTATACATGAGACAACAATGGCCATCACTACCTCGATTCTTTTGTTATGCTTCTGGATTCGAGCCTCTGTGGCTGCAACGGCAGACTTGTCCAACCCGGCGGGAATCGAGCTAGATGTCGTTTTCCCACGCAACACAACGTACAACAACATGACCACCCCGCCGATTGTGTTCGCCCTGCAGAACGCCCCCACGGCTGTCTTCTTCGAGTACAGGTTAGACTGGAAACTGAATAGCGACGATGCCTACTTCTTCCTGGCCGGCAGCTTCGACGAAATCAACTATTTCAGCAAGTTTAACTATACCACCGGCACCACCGCGCTTCTGGTAGATTCGGCATACTGGGACCAAAGGCTAGATGCAGGCACTTACACTCTATCCTGGACCTATACCACAACCACTTGCGACGATCAGGGCGACAGCACGCTCATCCGGACTGGTGACGTAGCATCAGGGGAACTTTACTTCACTGTTGTAAATGATGGAAGTGGCTCCAAGTTATCATTTATGGGATGTCCCGAATACCTGGGCAATATCACGGCCAAAAAGACATCGGACTCGTGTCCGTCTCTCATACACAGGGGAGGAGAGCCGCAGCCGTGTAACGCGGAGTTGAACGAGAAGCAAGTCAAGTGTCTAGACACTTATTTTGAGGGTCAGGCGGATATGGATGCTTGCGAGGCTGGATTCGATGATATTAAGACAGGGGACAAGGTGGAATGGAAATATGCAAATCAAACACGGAATGCGCACAGTCACACTTCGGACTCCAGTGTGAATTCATCTGGAAGCAGCAGCAATATTACCAACGCGGGGGATACGAGTTCTTCAAGTCAGAATCCCAGTGACGATAGGGAATCCACGAACGACTCGGGGGATTTAGGGGACGTTTCACTCGGGAATACCTACCGTCCACACTTGGGGCTTGCGGTTGTAGCTACATTAGTGGTTGGAATGCTTTTTTCATGAAGCATCCGAATGTATATATATACATACGCAGACCCCAGGGCTATGTCCGAAGCTGACAATTAATTTACCAGCGGAATCAGAGTGATCTAAACTTGTTCTCAAATTTATGGCAGACAGAAGCCACTTATAGACTCGGTTTTGGACCAAAACTTATGATCCTACGGCCACGAAAAATCGACTTACGTAGCATTCGAGGGACCTACCAGGAGGTCTCAGGGTCAAGAATGACCTTACCAAGCATGAGAATAGGATTCAGATGCTTCAGCTTGAGTGAGCCCTTGGGGTGTCGCAAGTTTGATACAGTATGTACCTCGGTCTTTTGCGCCGTGCCTATCCCAAAACCCATGACTTTGTCACATAATTACAGCAAGTGCCGAGCTTCAGGTGGGGTGATTCTCGTTTTGTTTGATTTTTTCCCTTATCTTTGCCTGCAAAAAGAAAAAGGGCATGCGTAAATACTAGAAAGGATGAACGACACCAAAACCTGTGCCGCGTTCATTGCCCCACCGCCCTATATGAACCGATGGTTCAGTCCCAGGTTCTCCAATGTACCTACGCTCCAGTATGACGATATCAATAGTCCAGGACAGAAATCGGTGGCGGTGGTAAAGAACAAAAAAAGTAGCCCAAGGAGCAGCTGGCCAACCGACATCCATCAAGTTGAGGTGAAGGCGAAAAAACCCAGTCTTTTTGCTTCGCCACGCTAGGACTTGTGTCTAGAGATAAGGAGAGCTATTCTTTACATTGATTACCCATTCCAGATTTCGCTTTTCATTTCTTATGTTGCTGGGATCATATGCGGCCCTAGGATCGATAGCATGGCTCCCAGATACTCTTTTGGTTGCTCTGAGTAACTATCGCTGCTGGGAGTGATTGAAATAGCTTCGGGGAACGAGTGGGTTCCTCGAGCTATAGGTGTCATGCAGGTCCGAGGTTCGGAGTTCGTTATACCTAGTAGGATTGGAAGTAGGAGCCTATATCAGAGCTACAACATTCAAACTACCATAAGATCTCGATCTGTTATTAGCTTTGATATTAGATAATGTGACTTCTAGAGACGTTAGTCGTCTTTCTACCAGAAAGAATTAGTCTTTTTCCGATTGTATGTGATACCTGGTCTCTTGTATTATTTTCGAAATCTGACGCATTACGGACCAGATAAGTGCTCACTTCCGCTAGTAGCGTTCAATAACAGCGATACGTTCCTTAGGCTTGAAGTTTGGGGGAAGCCGTCCCGGGCTCCGAAAGTGTTCTAGTCTAGCTCGAGTTTCCTCGCAGAGAACGGCGTCTGTCCAATATTGGTGCTTATCAGGCTGAGCAGGGAGCACAGGTGCAGGTGCCATTGGAATAAGCATAGATTAAGATCAGGATTCAAAGTCTATATTTTAGAAAATAATCACGCTAAGGTCAACTTACGGGGTTGGAGGACGATAAATAGAGAAAATGCGATAGTGGGAGGACACTAAGAGGGGGGAAACAAGAAACATCTTACAAACGCGACCGGGCCAGGCGAAGGGGGTCTGGTTGCTGCAAAGGGGAGCCATTTTCGGTGCTGTTTTGGTCGTGAGTAGAAATGAGGAGAACAACTTGCTAAAGTTACGGCGCCAGAAGCTGTCATTTTCGGCGTCATTTCCACCGGTCCTTCTTATATTCTATATGTAAATGGAGGTCGTATGAATTGCCATTTCGAGTTAATTTTTGCCTTTCTTGGTACTCCTTACAGCATCTTAATATGCTGTCAGGTGACTCCTTCAATGACATAGAAAGTCTATGAAGGTACATAGGTATGACGGCGAGAATGACTCGCGCATTGACAAACAAGGGAACGAAGCGAGGGGAAGAGAGATCTTCTACCCTGTCACATGAAAGATGCATGCATGCATGCCAGCATCCCCCTCACACCGTAAGTATCAAAGTTTGCTGCATCTCAAAACTTGGAATGTTCTATGGGTGCGACGTATTCTACGCAATCTAATAAAGTCCTCCCAAGTTTAGACTGATCCTTGGCTAATGTTCCAATAAAGCCAGCTACCGTTTTTTACTTTCATATCAATTCTATACAAGTTCATAGTATCCTACACGACTATACCTAGGTATCTTTAACGAAGAAGTACGATTAAAGGAGAGTATATAGGCCGCAGTTAATGTGAAGGCACCAATGCTTAGAGAGTAGCCAGACCGTACCAATTAAAAGCAACTGAAACATTTTCAGGCGCGTCGCCGAGGTCTTCTCGACACAGAAGGTGCTAGATTTAGAATGAGCCACATATCTCAGATGCCGGTTGGCACAACCAAATAGCCTAAATAGCCCCTTATCTGTAGAAATAACCAGTCAGCGCCGCCCACGCTCGAACCCCTACAAAATAGATCGCTGACACCATGAGGGTCTTCTCGTAACTTGACACGGGCAGGTCGCACAACATCCACCACAGACATCTCCAATACAGCCCCAAGACTACCGTGCGCAGCAGAAACTCGTAAACAGAAGCTAATCTGTAAGAACCCCACGCAAAATTCTCTGTCAGATAGCAGTAGATCTTTGCTGTCCGATATCTTCTGCGCATGCCCAGGGAGCAGTTGGAATCGGTAAAAGCATCCATAAATGTTCTCGCTTCAGACTTCGTTTGGCATGCAGGAAGACTTGCAGAGTCGACCGGAAGGTCAGCCGGGACTGGAGTTGAGGGGAGTTGAACTGTCTTGCAATTTGGCGAGTCTGTTGCTGATTCAATCAATCTCTGCAACATCGCTGGATCGGATGTCCATAGGCGCTGGGATACTGGGTCACAGATCTGGGGGAAGTTCTCCATTTCAGTGAAAACCCCAGTTTTGGCATCCGGGTATTTCAGGATATTTGTATAGAACCGAGGCGTAAGAGGCTGTATTTCGAGGGCAGGTGGAGGCGCAGAAGTAAAAGTTTTGACTGGGGAATCCATTGTCATGGGGTGAAGATGTAGTGATTTGGCAGGCGTATAGATCACCGTCAAAGGAAAACGGCATGTTTTAACAAGTTCGGAGAGGTACAGCCGGAAGAAAGGTTCCAAATCCCTGCTAAAACTGTTAGAAAAACTGAAATAAAAAGCAAAGAAATTCTGAGAGGACCTCTCTGTTCCGGAGGCATTACGTGGGATGTTTCCCTTCTTCACGTCCGGTTTGTTCAAGTAAGGCATATTGCCTCTGAATCGAATACGGAGTGCCTCTACCACAATCCGACCAATTGAGACTGGCACAACAAATGACCAGCTGAGGAGGAAGCTCGCCAGCTCCCCGGATGACGCCAAAAGAGGGTCAATTGGAGCAGCAACGGAAAAAAGCCGACTAGAAATCTTGGGCTTGCCAGAGGTGCTCATAAGGGTCATGTTAGAGTGCAGAGGGCCGCCTTTCTCAGGTGCTGGATCTAATGGATCCATGAATCGAAGGGCAAACCCGCCTTCAACCTTCTCGAAAGGTGAAGCAAATATGTCTTTCTCCCAGCTGCCCTTGTAGTACTTGGCAGTGGGAGCCGATGATGTGAACCGGAGGAGTTGATCGCCACGAGGTCCTCTTCCTGAAACAGTGCTGAAAACCTCGGAAGTTTTGGCTTTCTCATAACAGGAAGAGTCTTCCTTGGTTAACCGACAGAACGCATTCTTCTTTTCACCGTATGAGTTGTTGATTTCCATGATGATTCCACTGAGCTCTTTCAGAGGCGAGTATAGATACCAATACGATATTGGGCTTTTGGTCCACCAGAGAAACTGAGGGATGCTGATGAGATATGCATAAGGATAGTGGGCTGGGTTCTCGCCCTGGAGGTACGAACATATTAACATATTGACCCCAGGGCATATATATTTTCCAAGGAATAACATACCCGTTCTTTCAAAAAGTGTCCTAGTTTTGTGGCCAACGTTAGATGACCATCTCCACGATGAAGATACCAACTAGTATCAATTCTGAACCAAAATAAAATCCGAAAAATCCTTTTCATAAAAGAGTGGAAAGGATTTGTGACTGGGGTGTGTTGGTCTGATTGATCACTTTCAATGGACATCACAGTCCCAACACGACCACCGAGTCCAACGGGAACTCCAACGAGGAAATAGTTGATCCAGTAATGGTACTTCTCCGGGAAGAAGCGAGCGTGTGTTAGGCGTGCTGGGTAGAGTAGTGGTCTTCCCAGTAACGTTTTCTCAACTTTGGTGGGGTCTCCATCAGACCACAAGGCCAATTTCCGCCGGACAAATGCTACCATCGACACCCAGGCAAGCAGTGTACTACCAACAGCTAGCAGAAAGAGAGGTATAATGACTTTTATAGTCTTGATCCAACCAATGTCGTGAAGGATATGAACCAAGATAGGGAAAAGCATGATGAACATGTTGGTTCCGGCGCCCTTGTGGTAGTGGAATGACTGGATAGAAATTATAGAGACAAAGAAGCCGATAGTTGTTGAACAAACTTAAAAAGAAAGATAGACAGTATATCGGGAGACGGGCAAACGAATTGGTATTTGATACAAGAACATGAGGCTAGTCGATGTCGAACTATTCGACGGACTACTACAACCCAATATACCTTCTATTGGCCAGCACCACCACTCACCGCAATCTTCTCCGCGCGTCCGTTGTGCGAAGCTATAGAACTTTGTATAACATGAGAATGCATCTTGACAGAATGGGTGCTATTGCAACGCCAGATCGGGTTGTGTACGTTGGGTCCTAGAGTATGTAAGTGAGTGAATTAAAAGATTACGGTCGAACACGAGAAGATCAACCTGTATACACTTTTTCTTAAATTAATTCCTCTCTAAATGGAATGTTGCTTATCTTCCTAGATATTCCGAAGGGGCGAAGCGAACGAATCAGTAACTTGTGCTGGGCATGAACTATATCCTGTGTAACCTTGGAACTATGCACGCAATACTGAGATCTATGGCTCTATCAATATCAAAACTGGGAATAACAGGTTTAGGCGGCTATAAGTTTGACCTTGAAGGTTAGGCAAAACACAATCCACTTCTCATTCAGCTTGAAGAATAATTCTCACTTTGAATTTTCACTATGGCTTTTTCTGAGAAAAGGACTTCCTCCAAGGTGCTCATCATTGGAGCTGGCTTTTCCGGTCTAGCTACGGCTTGTCAACTCAGAAGAGAGCACAATTGTGATGACTATATCATCTATGACCGTTCATCTGCTCCAGGAGGAACTTGGTGGGCAAATAAATGTTAGTTGATTGATCTCTTTTCTCTTTTCTTCAAACGCTTGCTTAACATGGCATTGTAGATCCAGGATGTGCCGTGGATATCCCAGCGGTCTTTTATAGCCTATCGTTTGCCCCAAATCCCGATTTCTCGAAAGTCTACCCACCACAAGCGGAGATATTGGAATACTTCAACCGAGTTGCGGACAAGTACGACGTCTCTCGACACATCGTTCAGAATACAGAATGGGAAGGGGCCTATTGGCAGGAGCCGACAAGGAGCTGGTTGGTGAAGTTGAAGAACTTGTCCACAGGTCAGGTCTTCTACCACGACTGCAAAATCTTGATATCTGCTGTTGGAGCCTTGGTGAACCCAAATACATTTGGCGCCCCTGGTGCCGAAATATTTCAAGGCGATATCGTCCATACGGCTGCGTGGAAAGAGGATATGTCTCTTCGAGAGAAAGATGTGATTGTCGTTGGCAATGGATGTGAGTTGCTCCGCTTTTTCCTGTCTTATAACAACACGTCACCAACGGTTGATCAGGTTCGGCTGCTCAGCTCATTCCCGCTATTGCTAAAGAAGCTCGAAGCATCACCCAATTTATTCGGGTAAGACATGCCTTTCACATGTAGCAGATGTCCATTTCTCATTATTCCAGACTCCCCAATTCTACTTGCAAAATGAAAACAAGCAAATCGACGACAACTGGAAATTCATTTTTCGCTATGTGCCCGGTGCTCTGCGTTTGTTGAGACTGATGGTGTTTCTCTATTTGGAGAGCACAGCTGTCAGATTCAATATCAATCCTAACGGAAACAAAGCCAGAAATCTATCATCAGAGAGAAGCAAAGCTTACATCCAAAGGAATGCGCCCGGTGAGCTCAACCCAAGAAGAATCATTTGTGTCAACACTTTTTGCTTACTATTGTGGAATGAAAGAGCAATATTGGCCCCTCTTGATGCCAAATTATGAGATTGGATGCAAGGCAAGATCTCCTAAATCCGACTTTGGGATAAATACTAAGTCTCCTTTCAATGTAGCGCCGGATCTTCGACAACAACAAGTATATCAGTTGCCTGCAAAAGAGCAATATTCATCTTACAGAAGACCCGATTGTCGAAATTTCATCTCATTCGATTTTCACCAAGTCTGGCCAGGAGTATCCTGCAGATGCAATTGTAAGTCACTTACTAAAAGCTCAAACGCTTGGTATCCCAGCTGATCCTTACTCTTCTCAATACAGCTGCTTGCCACCGGATTCGCCCTGACGCAGTACGATGTAGAGCTGGTAGGGCGGAATGGCCGGACTCGTGATCAGCATTGGGATAACTTCGGCTACAAGGAGGCATACAAATCGACTGCGATGTCCGGATTCCCCAATTTCTTCTATGTTCTGGGTCCCAACTCTGGTAAAGGCCATACGTCTGCCATTTACTCCATTGAGAAGTATGACAAGTTGTTTTTGGCCCCCTCTTTTCCAGAGCATCCCCGCTAAAAGTGGGCAGCTACGTGAACCTTGTCATGAAGGTGATTGCGCCGGTTATTCAAGACCGCTGTTCCTTCGTCGAGGTGAAGCCCGACAGGGAGAAAGATTACAACGTGAATTTGCACGAGAAGATTGCCACGACGATCTTCGACAGCTCATGCAGGAGTGTAAGCAAAATCTCCCGTCTTCTTCTCGTTGGGATTATCATATCTGATACTCAGCTGGCAGTATTTCATCGACTACAAGACTGAGAAGAATTGGTTCATATACCCATGGAACTCATTTGTCATGTGGTACTCCACTCACTCGGGCCGTTCGGATGACTGGACATACGATGTAAGTCGACTAATGAAGCTTCTGCTTGATGGGCCCAAAAAAATTGACATTATAGGTCCGACCTGACAAAAACCGAGTGTTCCGCTTCCGTCATCTACTACTCCTCCTTGCACTCAGCATTATTTTGATTAGCTTTACCATGATAGTAAGAGAGAAATACAGTTGAAGAAAGAAAGAGGGAAAGGGTACAGGAGACAGATACAGGATAAAGACAGGATATACCTAGTAGGTGTTTACTATGAATTCAAATGACTTTCGACGAACTGATTTGGGGGTCCTTGGTTTATTCTAAATCCTGAATGCTTTTCCCTTTAGAATGTTTGCTGACATGGCATGTAAATCCTGTACTTTCTATTTTCCCCTAATGCCCTTATCTAGTTACCTTGTACTTGATTACCTCTGCCACTTCTTGGCGCTTCCCTTCCGTATTAGTGCTCAGACCTTGCCGCTTTTTGCTCACTGAGCAGAACTGAGCACGCCTCTGAGCGGTCTGATCGGATTAACGTATTCGGTAAGCGAGTGACGCATGTAAGCGAGTGACGCAGCCCAAAACACATAGTAAATGCGATATTTTCTACACATATATATCAACAACCACTTCTTTATTCTATCTCATTTATTGTCGATAACTGTTGATAAGCCTTAGTAACACGATATATTATTTTCAAATAAATCTGAAAGCTGTAATATTATGGTATCGAAAATTACATCGCTGTGAGCCAGATATATATATCTCTCAATTAATGAGTTGTAGAAATTTGATAAATTTTCTTTGAGAGGCTACATACCACTTGAAAAATATGGCTCTATAAGGAAAAGTTCCTATATGCCACCGTTGTTGAGATATTAAGTTGTAATTTATCGCATTTACTATGTGTTTTGGGCTTGCGTCACTCGCTTACATGCGTCACTCGCTTACCGATTACGTTAGTGATCATAATAATTACATAAGCACTCTGATCTGCTCTGAGCATCACCTGACACTCAGCTGAGTAGTCTGATCCGCTCACTGATCCTCGTCTGAGCGCCCTGATTCGCTCACTAAGTAGAACCTGAGCGTCGGGGTTGAGCAGCCCACTAAGCGACCTGAATAAATGTACTACGCTAGCCCGGCTCACATGCCACCTTTCCTTACTAAATTACCCCGATTGTCCCATCAAAAAAGTACTGGCATCATCAATATGACCATTCATCCTGGTAATCTTACTGCAGTCAAGCGCCACAATGGAGCCTGCTACTTGATCAACCAAACAGTATTACATTCCATACTACATGCTTTTGAAAACACTCCTGGTACCCCCATGATCTCCTAATCAGGCTGTGGAGACTAATGGTACCAAGGCAATTAGATGGATCTGCTTGGATACTTACACTCTATTCTAGGGCGGTGGCCACTAGTGACAACGTTTACGGGATTCGACGGCAAAGCTACTTCTAGCACCAGTAAGGTCGTGCTCCTATAGGCCACCGTATCTCTTTGTGAGGTTCCGAAGTTTAGGAAGGCTCGTCTGCTCTTCATCACCCCTTCGTCACGGGCAACTCGGTTTCCCATCCACGCCCTGTGGATGAACCGGAACCAGACCTTTCTCTTAGAGGCCATAGTCTCCACCTGGCCCTAGATCGTCTCCCAGGACGTGGAGGACTCCACCAGCGCAATTGTAAGGTACTGGGTGGGTTTAGGGAAATGCAGGCGGATCCCAATTGGAGTTGTGCAGAACTCCCGCTCCAGAAGCAATGTCCATGTTTGTTTGTACAACCGCGGGTTGCGGGACTGATTCTCAATTTGGGCCAGGGGAGTCTCTATGCCGAAGATTGAGGGGAACTTTAGCCCTATCTGCTCCCTTAAATAGTCCGCTTCGTACATTGCCCCTAGCCTGTACGCCGTGGTTTCCGTCAGGCTATCTACCTCTTCTTTCGGGTAGGTAGCACCATTGAGGACTGATCGGAGATAGTTATGCAGGCTAATATTCGGGGCGGCTTCGTTCAGACTGGGCTTTGCGGCAAAGTACTCTTCTGCGAGATACTTTAGGCGTTTGAGGCGCCGGCCGCCAGTCTTCGCCGGCTCCGGCCCACTGGTCGAGGAAGGGGAGGGAGGGACCTGTCGTAGAGACAGCCATTTGTCGTTATATGACGTCAGGGGCAGACCGAGGCGAGGCTGGTAACTCTCTCCCACTCGTCGTTTTCCGCAGAGAAGTAGATCTGTTGGGAATTACCGAGTGCTCCCATCTCCTTCACGCAGTCATATACTGACTTCGAAAATTCAATGTAAGTGGGATGCTCTGTCCTCTCCTGGGTTTCGTCCTCGGCGTCTATCAGACAGCGTAGAACGGCGGAGGCGGCTAAGCTGCGGCTGGCGCGCCCAGCACTCCCGCTGACGGCCCACGATGATGATTCATTGTCCTCGCCCGCTGCTGCTATAGCTGTGGTGTTCAGCTGCTGTTGGTTGATGTCTGGGCGGACGAGCCAGACACCGGAGTAGCACGACGTAGTGAAGATGGTGGTGAAGGACATTGGTTGCAGTACATGGCGGAGGTCTTTCATATGCAGGATAGAACCTCCGACCTCTATCCCATGGGCTGGGGTGCCATGCCCGAAAACAGCAGGACCAGATGCTCTTCACAGCGGGGCCGCTTCGGCTGCTTGCTCTTGTAGTATGCTGAGGTACCTCTCGAGGAGACCTTGTCGTGGCACAACACGTACGTTCCCAGCCCCTAAGATGTTGGGGAGTCTCTCGCCATCTAGTACCGCCCGACGGTCACCTTCTGGGTTACCATGAAGGTATTCATGGTACTTTGTGACGAGGGCCGACGGGTCTTCGCACGTCAACCATATTTGGTTAGGCGCTAGTGATACCCGTAAGATTAGCAGAGAACGGACAAGACAACAGGACGAGGAAACACTCACGTCGTGGAAATTGTGGGGATAAGAGATAGTGGAACAGGTAGAAGTCTGACGCAAACCACCCGTCCTCACTAGGGCTAGCTAAGTCGTCTTTGTCTGTAATGCCCAGGAGGGCTAATATGCGAGGCCGGGGGGGAAGGTCGGGGGGCAGTGCATCAGGAACTCGCGCCCAGCAAGATCTTGCTGAGTTCCGCTTCGGCGTCCCATAGTGAAGAAATCGGGGAAAGCATCTGGACGGATCGTGGTTGGTGGGCCGGTGGTGGCCATTGTATCGACTGTAGTGGATGAGTGATGGAAACGGATACGTGGATGACTGTTGCACTTGCAACCTTGACACTGATTAGGGTCATCAAAAAAGCAATTCATGGATAAACAGTACAGTGAGCCTGACTCTGAGCGCCCTCATTTAAAGCGGTATTATCTGGAATAGGAAAGTCCCACAATGGCAGAGGAAATCAAGTACTTATAGTCACCTAGGTATATCCTAGTGTGGAAATAGGCCAATATACTCTTATATGACATCACATTTGACTTTCAGTTGCATCGGTTCTGATTGGCTACCCAAAGCCTCTTAAACCGCAACGCGAAAGTGACGCGAAAAGACGCGACCGGATTGGACGTGAAAATGAGGGGTTGACTACGTTGTCGAAGGAAAATAGCTGATATGCTATCCTATACAAAGTAAGCCGCTCTAGGGTGACCAAGTAAGATATGTATGGAGCGATATGGGGTGTTCTAGGCTAATAAGCATGACAAAAATAAACATGACAAGTGAAATATATGGGTTCTTTTAGGACAGATGCTGAAGCACACGTATGTCCTCAAGGTTGAACATGTTCCATTTCATCCTCTCCTCATATCAAGAGAAGAGCCATGCAGAAATATTAAATGATTTCATCAAAGGCATGCTGGGCGCAAAGGGAAAAATGGAAAGAAAGAAATAGGAGTGAACAGTGCAATTGCTGAGGGCAAACAATGACGGAAAAAGCAAGAGATATGGTCTTGATGAATGAGAGGCAATGCAAGACATTATAGTAGCAAAGCATTTGAAAAGACAACGCCTGTGAATGCAAGTCGGTAGAGGCCTTCGCAATCGAGACTCAGGTCTGTTATCGAAAGAGCGAGCCTCTGCACCGAGGAAAGGGGGCAAATTACATAGGGGATGAACACAGTGTGTACATAATATGATCATAAGAAAGTCGTCAATGGGGTTTAAGAGGAGGTAAGGCAAAAATGAACAGAGAAGAGAAAATGGAGGGAGAGACACTGGGTTTCATGGGTGCAGTTCGCCACCGAGTTGCAACGCCAGCCCCGTTTCCTTGCCACGAAGTCGAGGGCTGGAGTTGCTTGGAGGAACCAGGGCATCAAAGTTCAATCGTTTTCTGTTGCTGGTGAGCGGAGTGCGAGCAGAATTGCCTGGGGTGCGGCCACCCCAGGTTGGTTGCGCCGGGCTAGGGGTCACATTGACGAAATCAGCGAAATTGAATTGCTGATTCGGTGTGCTGATATTGGCAAACATGCCGCCGCCCAGTGTAGGTGTCATGCCTGGCAGTAGTGCGTGTTGGCTGGGAGGAGTGGAAGGTGGGAAGGCCTGGTTTCCGTTGCCCCTTGCAACCCGAGCGGGGGTCGGGGAGTTGGCGAGGTACAAGAGCAAATCTGCGCCGTCCTCGTGGTTCTGAGGCTGGTTGTTGCGGGACAGTCGCATGTGTTTTGGGGGAGGGGTTCGTGGAGGTGAGGAGCCTACGATCGAGCTCATGTGCTGGAAACTGTGCAGCGGCAGATCGGGATCGATCTCTTCTGACGGCCTAGGATATATAGGCGATGACATCTCCGGAATTGTAGCCTCGGACATGAAGGGGGCTTGTGTGCGTCGGCTCGTACGGTGTCGGTCCATTCCAGGGGAGGATTCCGGCAGCCGGTAAGAACTCTTCCACGAGACCCGGGGTGCTTTGACAGGGCGTTCAGAATCGGAGTCAGACCGTAGGCGCTTTCGACTGGCAGACAGCATGGGTTGCATGACTCGAGAGTTGAAGGTAGCGGCATGTTTATTGCGGGCGGATCGAGGGAGCTCCTTGGAATAGGTGGAGGCTTGGAGGGGAGGGGAGGTGAAGGGAGTCTCGCAACGACTGCGTGAAAACTCGGATGAAGAGTCGGAAGGCTTATCGCTCTCGAGAACGGGCCTGCCATCCTGCTGGTTCGGGTTCAGGCCATGCAGTCGACCATGTTGGTACTTGAGTTTGGCAAGGCCCAATCGATCCTGCAGACTGAGAGAAACCTGTGCGAAGAGAATCCAGGGTCAGTTCCACGTCATCAACAATATCATCTTGAAGCATTAGGATGCAGTGGCGAGTATTCGGGCCAATAGCCAAGACTACAACTCAAGGGATCCGCAGTCTCTATTTTTTTTCGATCTCTTACCTGGGCGATATCGATTTTGCGGATCGTTTTTTCTGCCGAGCCCGGCTGTGATGGAGGCATTGTATCAGGAAACCTATAAAAACAAGCAAGACACCCCTATGCAAAAAGAAAAGACGTTTTCGAAGAGTCGAGGTTGATGGGGCGAGCAAGGGCGAAAGGGAAGAGAGATTGGCAAAATGCGGGAACTCCGACAATTCTGGAGAAGCACTTGAACAGATTGGGATTGAAAGAAACCAATTCCTATTCGCTGAAAATGTCAGACAGTTATGTCGAAGATACTGGGAAGAACATGTCAATTTCTTAATTAAATTTTGTTTCTCTTAAATCTGTCAACTTTCAATGTCCTTCCAGACTCTGTTATCCATTCCTTCTGAACTATTCCGTACATGTACGGAGGGAGTCCCTATGTACATACATAAGTGCTTCCATGTAGACACTCCTATATAGTCCAATTCAATAACCCCCAGTTATTTTATTATTTTATTATTTGTCGTTTGTTTGTTCTAAAAATCGATCTATCTATTTACATATGCAGTCCCCCTGAATCCCATTACTTTCTAGACTCCGTATAGTCTAAACTTTAGGTCTTTTTCTCAAAGAAGAAAAATGTTTTTCTGCAGATTCCAGGATCCCCAATCCCCATAGAAACCAGGCATGCAGACACAGATTCCGATCCACCTGGATTGGAGAATGAAGTCGTAAGTCCCTGAGGTATGCTCTAGATCGCCGGAAGCATTTCATGTGCTTTATGTGTACGCAGTATCAAGTCCTGGGAGAAATAGGAGAGAAATTGAAGGTAAAAGACATCCTAAATGTCCTGAGATTGAGGAAATAAATTCGTATTTGGCCTGTGATCTGTAACTAGCCATCTACAACATACATTTATATACGTATGCAGCCCAGTTACAGCCCTCGTTTCAAGGTTCTAATCTTGGATGACAGCCACCTACGTAATTCTAAAATCCAAGCATTCTCAAAAAAAGAAAATCATATCGTCAAGCTTTATAGAAAACTGAAACAGAAATAATACGTATGTCTAGCATAGGCATACTCCCGTGGTCATAGGGTATGCGAGCTCCGACAAGATCTAAGCTAAGAACATTAGTGCGATCCGATCCACAACTGAAACACTGCGACTTAAAAGAGTTTGAGCTGAGCTGATAACAGAATAATAACCACCTTTAGGCAAAGACTAAGGGTACGCGTAATGCCCTGAAAGGGCTTTTAAAAGTGCTCTATAACTAGTTAGTGCTCCTTATTATAGAGTATTTTTTGGGGCCAAGGGGAATCTCTGATCTTTGATCTTTTCCTTCTTATTCTCTTCTCAATTCACTTTATTTAACAATATTAACCAGAATCCATCCCCTTTCCCCCTATTTGGTGGCGGGGCGACTCGTCGTCAACCGCAAACGGTTACCCTGTTCCTGACAATTTACCCGCCTTAAAAAAAGCAACAGGGTAGCTTCATCTTTCCTCTCCTCTCAAACTCGCCATGCCGTTCTTCAAAGACCTACGGCGTCGATCAAAGGCCACTTTTCACAAGACTCCATCCCATAATGTCGAGGAGGTCTCCGGGAAATCATCATCCACGGTCGACACTTCCTCTCACAGCTCCATCACTCCACCCTCATCAATCAGACCAACCCTTTCAACCCCCAGCCTTCCTGCTCTCAATGAATCCGAAACCACAAGCGCAATCAGTGCAGCCCCGCCTACCCAGCGACCGGGGCCTGTGGTGACCAGTTCCCAACGAAACAGCGTTATCGTACGTACCCATTCCTCCCCGCGACAACTGACAACACTGAATCTAATTGCTTGGCAGGGCAGCAGCTCGTCCTCAGTCAATAACGTGTACCGATCACAAGCTCCCGTCTCACCTTACGCCCCGAGACTCGTGTCTGTGTCTGATAATTCATGGGTATATTCGTCTGCCAAGGCCGGAATTGGAGGCACATAGTGTTCTCTGATAAAATGAATTGAATTGTCTGACTGTCGTGCAGGTGAACCAGAAAGTGCTGCTCGTATATGGTCAAATCGGCGACCCAAGGCAACATTCGCTGGACGGAAACGTCACCGTCTATCACCACCAAGATAATTTCCCGTCGACCGGCTGGCCCGTCACGGCATCGCATTTTAAAGTCCTTGTTCATCTAGTTCCCGGTCCTAATCGCCTTCGCTTTGACTTTGTCTCGCCAAAATTGTCCACGGGCAGTACCCACCCCGCGATCCACTCCTCCTGGATTTGCATCAACTACCTTCCTCTGGTTAACAACCCGCCATTACAGCTGGTCATACTCCTGGGGAAAGACTCAGATGGCACATACGATGCAGTACCAGAAAGGGTAGAGCGCGAAGGAAACGGCCTGGAAATGGCCATTCGGAAGTACCGTATGGCAGCCTATCTCTGGCAGGCTTTCACTGGTGAACAAATGTTCCGCAATAATTTCGGGCGGCGTTGTTTCCGATTCGAGGAAGAGTGGCAGTCGGGTAGCTTGAGCCGTCGCGACTTGACCCAAGGCCAGATGCGGAACGAGGCCAAGATTCACGTCGTCCGCACTGAGAAAACCGTGGCCGAACTCCGAGATCTCAATATCGCCCAGCAGAACGAGAGAGCCGCGAAGAAAGACGAATTGTTCGCCATTGCTAAGGACGCGGTGCGAAATTATTTCCAGCCTCAGCCCGGTCAGAAGCAATACGTCTCCGTTCTCCTCCTCGATTCTCATTGGGATATCCAATCCCAGATGATCACCGGCCACGCGGCTTTAGGCTCGGCCGATGACGATATCAAAATGGCCATCTTCGGGTCTCATTGTCTCCAAAGCTATCCATCCTGTCTGGAAGAAGTCGTGGACGCGTTCTCGGACTGCACCCGCACGGATACGAACCACATCGCTAATGACTGCGGCGAGGCGGGGTCCAATTGGGAATCAGCAAACTTGGGCATCGGGGCTCACCTGCACGAGGTGGGCCATCTCTTCGGATGTCCTCACCAGGAGTCGGGAGTCATGCTTCGCGACTATGTGCGTTTGAACAGAACATTCCTGACCCGAGAGCCTTTCTCCACGCGCACAAAGGCTCAAGGCTTGAAAGTGTGTTTGCCCAATGACGAGTGTAGCTGGCATCGCCTCGATGCACTACGCTTCCGATTCCATCCCAGCTTCCGACTCCCAAGTGACCCTTCTCCGACTTCGGATGATAGCGTCCAGGTGTGGCCAGTCGAGAACGGCAAGATATTGTTCACTGCTTCGTCGGGGATTGCATTCATGGAACTATATGCCGAGGGTGACACCTTCTGCCACAACTTCATCGAGTACTTGAACAGCGAGTCGAGCCCCAACGGACTGCCACGACAAGTTGCGGTGACAGAGATCGAGCTTCGCCAGCGTGTCTATGGCACCGAAAAGGAAAAGAAAAAGAACATTCGTCTGATTGTCTGCTCCGGTGCACTGGGCAGCTACACTGTTGAGAACGTAGGTGATCTGAAATCGAAAAATTCTCTTGTCAAATTACCCAAAAACCAGTCTGGTTTCAAAAGCGGCCGATTAGGCCAGTCGGCGATGGAAGGCAGTGAGCCAGAGCAGGTGTTACTGGAATGTGCCTTCATCAAAACAAAGCTGTTGACATCGATCAAAGTCTACCATGGCTATGCACTGGATGGTCTCGAGTTCTGCTACGAGGACGCAACCAGTCAGCTATTCGGCAAGCGAGGAGGTAAAGCTGGTGGCGATGAGTTTGTCCTTGATACTCGACGCGGTGAAATTTTGCTTGGGTTCTATGTCCGGGCTGGTCTCTGGATTGACGGGATCGAGATTCTCACGAGCCTGGGGAGAAAATCCGGTGTCTATGGAAATGCGGCCGGTGGCACAGGGTGTGTATTGTCTTCTATTCTCTCGCAATATTCAAAGCATGCTAACCAACTTGAAACAGGCACACTTTAATACCTCCTTTGGGCTACAAGATTGCTGGAGTCTCTGGCTCCTGTGCATCATGGGTTGATGGATTCTCATTGATCATCCAGCACTGATAGCAACTCTCTGTCTACCACCTTCCTTTTCCTCCAGCTCTCTGAGCTCCTCGTCCTCATGCCCATACCTCCAAAGCGAAGCTAAACACTGGTTCAACCATCGTACTATGGTGGACTGCGAATGACCGCAGGGAATCCTCCTTAGTCATCTCCTCTGAACGGCTACTAAGCCTTGCATCTTCTTGCATCTTTTACTCTCTTTTCATCCCTAATCTGGGAATAGGCAATTCCGCGTACCAGAACCGGCCATGGCCACTATATACACGAGGCTCTGTCGGGTTTTGTCTGTGTCTATAAGTTTTCTTCTGTTTTATTTTCTGTCACACATCGGCGTCATGGGCGTGTTAAGGGTTGCATGTATGCATGGTGATATTTTCTTCGACCTTGCTCGCGGTCGATACAGGTCCCGGGTGCATGGGACTACAATTACTGGTAATCATTGAGCATACCGATGGCCACACAGCACTACCGGATCATTTTGTAAAGGGCGACATCATTCATATCGGTTGGATAGTTCATATAGGGTAATGTCATGAAACCACCGTCAAATGTTCAAAAATGGCAATCCAAAGAGTAAACAACCACGGACCGTGCAAGACACCAAAAAAAACCCCTACAACGTTGTATAACGTGTAATAGTGTAGCTTGTACTTTTGATCTTAAAATCGTCTCCTAAAAACAACCTGGAACTTAAAAAAGGAATATTGAGTCATGTTCAGAAATTACTAACAAAAATGACCCTCGCGCTAATAACCCCTATGATTCATGGCAAAAATGTGGCAATACCCTTGTGGAGGAAGTACAGCCCTAGAGATGGATCAATCTGCGGAGAAAATAACCCGTCACCAATAACGTAGGCCAGAGCAATCATAGGTACGATCTACAAACATTGTAGTTTATTATGATGTCATTCGGTACATATTAATTTCTAGACGGCACGTTAGCCGACCAATCCGGACGAGGATCGTTCTCCCCGTTATTATGGGTGAAACAAGAGACGGCTAAAGGTAGCCATCGCCGATCTCTCGTGATAGACCTCGTCATATCGGAACCTCACGAGCTCGGCCCGGGAGCTCGGGGAACTTTTTATACTTCCATAGGTACATATGTATTAGCCAGGGCCAATAATGAACTAGGATCGTCACAGCGTACATAAGTACATTCTCGAAGTACGTGAGTGTAATATGCGACCGCAGCAGGTTAAAGCAGCCAACCAACAAGCCTTGGGATTTTCTTACTGAGATTTATGACATCAATATAAAGTGCCTTAGGTACAAAAGTATATACTTGGGAACGTCTCATTCGTGCTTAAGCAGAGTATAAGTGGAAACCGTACCGCCGAGAACGGGGGAAAGCCTGCGGCTGATGCAAAGCTGCGTAAGCTGTGCCGCGGGATTTCATTTATCAAAGAAGCTCGCGACATCCGAAATGAAGGTGGCAAGACCGTTTGTTTGCCTGACTGGCTATACCAGCACCCACCACGCCAAGCCAGCGTAGATCGCGGCCCCTTCACATTGCCGATCTACGATGTACATGTATGGACTTTCTTTCGATTTCTTTTTCTTTTGGTTTATAAATTTGTCTAGGGTCTATTGGTGGGCCAGTCGTTTACGAAGCGTTGCACACACTTATGTGCTAGGCGCTTGGCCAACTGTTTGTATTTTGCCTTGCAGAAAAGCTCCATCGTTATATGGACCCCTGTACGAATGACGTAACCGATCAGCGCTATAGCCCCACGGACTAGTTAACCAGCCCACGAACTTTACATAAATTATACAACCTGTCGTATTTTTTACTTATTATGGATTAGTACAGAGAAGGAGCTCTTCTCCCGATGCTCCTATAAAAGTCAGATCGGCCAATGATCGGCTGTATATTCTATACAGCGACTGTTTCCGATTGACTTCACTGAAAATTAGAATGCTAGTTACACTTGGAAACTTTTTGGTTTTTTTCTTTCTGAACTGTGCAGCATCCCCCATTTCCCCTTGTTATATAACCGGAAACGTCTCCTTCTGACGGCGTGGCTTTCACTGCTACTATCGTAGTCAATCTAATCTACCTCGGGAAGAAAGGCCGTTACATCAGCTCTAATTGGACCCTACCTATGTACCTACATTTAGGTAGGTACTAGGCCGTTCAAAAAAAAATAGTGGAGAGGGTGTCAATGACGAGAAACAGTGGACGCTATTCAGGTGATGTAAGTGGAGAAGGCCAGGTGGATTCCCAAGGTCGGTTAGTTACATTTATGTAATTGGCGTATTCGTGTACCTTGGGATAGCTTAATACATTACACTAGTAATTTACAACGTTCGGAAACGGACGCACGGATTCCATGCTTTAGCTTCAATAACTTAAATTGAAAGCTCTAGTAAGGTACAAGGTACATATAAAGCATTATGAGCACGTGCTCTGCTGATCATTCAAGTGCAGATTGAGTAGTATTACTGGTGGGTGATCTTCCAGCAATGAGCTGTGTTTGACTAGGGACGGTTTGGACATGATATGTGGCTGTATTCTATTATATCGATGGCACATCATGCCTTGCATTCCTTATTACCATAGTATAAACGCACAATATAGCCATTATAGACCTCGTAAACAAATTAGTTTATATAGCCTTAGAATATAAGTATAACATGACAATAGTAGCTGCAGTCTTGACGCATTATGAGAGGAACCACTTGTCCACTACAGAAGTACATATGTAGCCTCTATTCATGGGTCTCCTAGAGCCATGAGAGACCGAAGATGAGATCATCGACAGAAATTAAAAAAATCAACTGATTCATTCGACAGATCCCCGGGCCCAGCCAATAGATTCTAATGAAAAGACTTATATCAACCGAACAATATCTGTTTGAATGCAGATCCGGTCGGGCCGACCACCTATCACGCCTAACTACCAACATTCACGGTTCCACACTCCTTCGCGGCTAAAGTACTTTTGTATGTTGTACTCCGTACAATGTACTCACTAGTATGAGGTCAGACTATAGATATATAGGGCTGTGATATTGATTTGAAGTCTCGAACAATGAGTGATAGGTCGTCGCTACAAACTTCACACTTTTAAAGTGCTCGTATGATATGAATAGCTTTAATTTACTCCACACCCAACAATACAATATGGAATTGCCGTTCAGCCCAGCTGACTAGTTACATGATCCAATGAGAACGGGAAATGCTTCCAAGGTTCCAAGGTTCCTTCCCAAGTAACTATATATGTATGTCTACATATATGTATTTGCACTACCTACAATAGCGTAATCGATCATGAAATATGATACTCCGTACCGTAAATTTACTGTTTTCTCCATACCAGAACACCAATAGCTCCCGAGGTCCGTAACTGCCCTTTTCTCAAACTTTCCTCCACAATTTATTCCTTACCAATCACTTTATGCAGAGTAAAATATATATAATTTGTACAATTTCTAGAATTCTAGAATTATTTTGAATTATAGGATCTATTGAGGATATTTGGAAGGAAAAAAAGGAAAAGAAAAAGCGTCTCTTACCGAAAGTGGCCTGTTCTTATCAGTTTCTCCCAGGTGGCAACAGCTTCCCTCCTCCCGAGATCACCAACTCCTAAAATCTTCCGAGCTCATCCAATGGCCCACCTCTTTCGTTGAAAGTCCACTGTGGCTGGATGACAGTCTTGTGGGATCTGTTATACATCTTTCATTGGAGGGTCATTGACCGTACCATCATTCTCCCCTCCCTTTAAACATCGTCATATCCCCTCCTTCCACCCCTCGTCTCTCCAATTATACATCATTTCCTCCAATCTCCTATAAGAAAGAAACATACTCCATTACTATTTTTTATTGTTTTGGGCTTACACTTTATCTACCTTCAAGTTTCGGTCTAGTCCCGATCTTCCATTTTCACAGCCTTTTGCGCATTTAAAAGACAATTCCTTATAGAACCTTCACTTGTGCAAGGTCTCGCACAAACTCAAACTCAAACTATCGAACACTCCGCACGATATCCGAACACTCCCAAATCCCCATACTCCACGTTTTGAAAAGACCACACAGAGCACATCCAAACGTACTGGCAGTGGGCCACAATCTACTGGTGGCCATATTTTGTTTCTTTCCTTCACTCCCCCGGCTCAAGCGAAGCAATTAATGAAATAAATAATGTTCAACAATCGGTGAGTTTTTAAGCTCAAGCTTGTCAATAGTATAACGGTCTCATTTCTAACATTATGCTCTTTCTGCGCAACAGCAACAACGCTCAGAAGCCGGATGGTGAGTTCATCAGTCGCTTTCAGCAAGCATTCTCAGACATTGTCCCTCGGCGAGATAGCCAGAGCCCGCGCAATGTAAGGGCAGCTGAACCTTTGATGGCCTCAAGGTATATAACATCATATTTTCTACCAGGCAAAAGGTTTAAGATTAGAACTGACAGAACAATTTTCGCTCCTAGTATGGCCGAGAACAACGATGTGAAAATGGATAATCATGATGTCAAGTTACCCATCACCAACAACGACCGCACTCCCCGAAATATGCATGAACTGGGGTTGACGCCCTCATGGATGGAATCCGCGTCATATTCCATGATGCCGCCCGCAAACCAGCATACAGCCTTTTATACTCCAACTTCGTCTGGAATGGGTGCAATGTTCCATAATCAGGCTGGCGATTTGCATACTCCAACAGGGATGCAGTTTATGAGCCCGATGTCAGGCATGCCGGCTGTACACAATCACCACAGCATTGGCTTTGAGCCCTTCCACCCGCAGTTCATGAATCCAATACATGACATTAACCCATACACCCAGCAGCCGTCATATGCACCGAGCGCATTCATGCACCGCGACACCGGATATGACGCCATGGATGATACTCTCGATGAATCTTCTTTAAATGATGTACATGTCGAAACAGAATCCAGCATGACGGCCTCGACGGAATTTTCGACTCAAATGGCTGGTGATATGTCCTATGCCAATGGCGAAAAGTGAGTTAATGATGTGATTAAAAGTA